ATGGCCGAGTAATCTCTAGACTCAAACTCGATCATACGAAGTTTGACATATTCGGTATTTAAAAATGAAAAAAAAAAAAGAAAATTATGTACTAAAGGCTGCCAAATAAAAAAAAATCATAAACATTAAACATATTTCTAAATCATGAATCTAGACCCAAAACATAACCTCAAATATTGGTTGCACACTTAAAAGTACCATTTTTATGGATTTATACTCACAAGTTTAGAAAAAATTGAGTATGTTCGTTTTAGGTTAAGATTTATAGAGTTTATGTTTTGGATATAGATTCATGATTTAGGAATATGTTTAATGTTTATGATTTTTTTTGTTTGGCAGTATTTAGTACATGCTTTTTTTCATTTTTAGATACGGAATATGTCAAACTTCGTATGATCAAGTTTGAGGCTAGAGATTACTCGGCCATTTTGAAAAAATTCTAGGCATATATTCCAATTACCTCACCGCAACATTATAGTGCAGGTAATTTCGGAAAGAATAAAAAAAAATCAGTAGTATATTTGAATAGTTTTGAGGCGTGGTTAGAAATTTTTCTAATATTTCCCACTGTGTTGTACAGAAATCTCTCAGCGCTTTCGCACAGCGGCGCGCGGCAACTTTGATATCAAAGGTATAGCCGGCTGCCGCACCAGGGACGGCTTCAAATTTGTTTAAACCTTCATGTGAAATTTTTTCTCAATTTAAAACGCAAAGGTTTAGACCAAGGGTCGGCAACTGGCGAACCGCGGTCCAGGTCCGGACCGCGGAAGGTAAAATACTGGACCGCCAAAAATTTTTTGAAAGTATAAATTACTCAAATAAATGACTAAAAAAATGTTTTTTACGTTTAAGTGCCAATATTATAATTTTTTCTAGTATTTTACAATTGTATGAGTGTGTGAGTTCTTAATGGTTAGTAAGCAAATTAAATTTGAGTCCAAATTAAAATAAAAAATAAGAAATATGAATTTTTTTCTGGACTTCGTTAAAAATTTTCAAAAGTATCCGGACCCCACATAAAATTACTTGCCGACCCCTGCCCTAGAGTATGAAAATCAGTCTCTCTGCAGCGGTTAGAAGCACTGTTGTGTACTGCCTCCGTGGAGTGTCAGTACGTAAAGTTGCAGCGTGAAACTGTGGGAACGTTGTGCTCGGTTTTGATAATTTTATGAGAATTAGAACTCTGATTGCGGTTTAAAATATATGAGCTTTATTAATTCTTTTAAAATAGTAATACAATTATAGAAATGCTCTGGTTAAATAACTGCGGAAACACAGAGTGGATGTTGGTACTCTGTAATAGTGGATTCCTCTAGGCGACCTGTTATACGATCCGGTTTAGCTTCAGGATTTTTTGGTCAGGAAAAACTGAACTCTTGGCTAGTACGTCCTTCTCTATGGAGTTGCAGGTCTGGTGTTAATAACGATTTCAAAAATTTTCCGCTGTTGGTTCTCGTCGGCGACCTCAAGGAAGGAGTGACACACGCTGTATCGTCGTTCGATGGAATGGAGGATTTTCGGCAGCGATATTCTCATCCGGGTGGTTCGGCGGTTGAAGTTTAGAAACTTAAGTGATAAATTTGCAAACATTCATAATTTTTTATATTCTTCTGTTTATGGTTTCTAAGGCGCGCAGCGCTCGATCGCGTACTTGCGTGCATAGACGTAGATATTTCGGGAGCGATTTGATGGCAATCGCGATGTCTGCGGAGCCTTGCGAAAAATTTTGGAAAGATTGGTGAAAATTTTGCGATTTTTCTTTTTGCGAGCGGAGCTGCTTTGTTTGGTCGATGTTCCTAATTTGCGGCGGAAACTGCACCATATAGGCTTCTTTGGTAAAAATATTGCTGCTATTCGAAACATAGGTGAATTGTGTATTTACTTTAAAACGTATTGAGCTAATTCATATCAAGCTTAAACATATTTCTAGTAGTTTTTTTTGATAAAGTCATATCATTAGATTTAGGTATTAGTTCTTAAAATGCAAAAATAAATAAGCGAAAGAAGTACATATCTAATAGAACACAACAGATCAAAAAAGTTTTTTTGAAAAATACCGAAATATGTCAAATTGTAAAATCAATTTAATTAAGAACAAAAGTAATTGGGTCACTATTTGAGTTTTTTTAACATTTTTGACAAAGCACACAAAAAATTATATTTATCCATAAAAAAAATAAGGGATGCAAACCCAGGGATCAAAATACTGCGCAATTCAAAATAATTGCCGATCGGTTTTATAAAAAATTATCAAATCGTATTAGATTTGTAAATAAAAAAATACGTAGGTATATCTTGTTTTCTGATTCTCTACAACATATCAAAGTTTCAGCGAAACTGGGAAAATTTACTGTTACGGATAACTTTTACAAAATATGCAAGACATATATAAGTCTTCGACCAAGTCATGTAACCAGTGACACATTCTTTTTAAATTTCCAAAATGGTAAATGTACAACTCAGAGAATTGGGATAAACAAATTTACAAAAATGGGAAAGGATATCGCTGCTTTCCTCAAATTGCCGAATCCAGAACAATATTCTGGGCACAGTTTCCGCAGATCTTCTGCAACAATACTGGTTGACGCAGGCGGGGATATTACTGCTCTCAAAAGACACGGTGGATGGAAGTCCACCGCCGTAGCAGAAGGCTACATAGACGAATCCGTCAAAAATAAAACCAATACGGCCAACAAAATATCATCTTCAATTCAACCAAAACTAAACCAAACGAATCAATGTACATATAATTCAAATGTTTCAANAAAATTTAAGTGTACCTACACAAAAAAACGGTAACTGTTCGGATCGCGAAAAATATTTGAGAAAAACGGAATTAATATGCCTAAAGTAAACCAGCTTCCCTTTCGTAATGAGTTCCCAGTAATCAGTGGCCGATACTCCAAGAGTAGTTTTCTTAGTTGAAAACAAACGGAATTAGATCAAACTACAAGTTAGTACAATCTAATTTCATTTTTTTTTTGAGGATCCGTAATTTTTTAAAGAAGCAAAATTGATCTAAATTAATAGGTATATTTTGTTCTAAACAATCGACCCCCATTCGTTTGCAAACAAACCTGTACATTAAGAATACGAGCTAGTCCACTTTGAGACAGTCAATTGTGTTTTCCAATAATGCAACTTGAAAATACTTCATTCTGTAAAATAAAATTTTATATTCCAATACGAGAAATACGATATAAAAACCTTAACCTCAAAAAACCCCCTACATATTATTGCATTTTTGGAAAGAACATCTATTTTTAAGTTGAAAACATATAGCACACTCCATACTTAAGATTGACCGTTTCCGAGATATTTTGATTTTTAAGCAAACATTGACAGATGCAGACCGTCAGCAAAATTTAGTTTTCCCGGAAACATAGGTTTATTTTTTATTTGGACAAATAGGACATTTTGTAGAGGAAGACCTAATTTATCGAATTTGACATGAAAATTTTCCAGTTTTTATACAGGGTGGTCAAAAAAAAATATCGAATATGAAGTCCAGAAAATGTGGAAAACTAATTTTTTTAACGTATTCGTATTCTGTACTAAAATTAAGTGTAACTTCGTTAAAGTTTCTCTATACCTAATCCCAGTGGTTTTCATTTTATTTACGAATAAACATTTTCTTTTTCTTAAAATGATGTTTCCACCTGTTTCGCACATTTTAGATTGGCCGTGATAGGTAAGTAACAATCAACATGACAACTGTCACAGGTTTTTAATTGTCAAATTTGTTTAGTTCCTTGTGGGTCGGTGCTCTAATAGAATCCGGTGATATATGCTATTTTATTTGGGATACTAAAAAATGGTGTGTATAGTACTCCAGTAACAGCGAAGGAAAATTGTATGCATAGAGCAAGGCAAGCGTTCGAGCATCTAACATCGAATTCTATTAGAGCAGCGACCCACAAGGAACTAATCCGAAGGTGTGAAAAATGTTTAGATGTTGGGAAGTTGAAGACATTTTGAATATTTATTGAAATAAATTCTGTATCTTAAAAACAAGACAAAATATCGGCTCACGACCCTTGTAAAAAAAATCTATAGCGCTGATGAATAAGTTACAAGTAGAAATATAGACAATTTGATTATCATTTTTTTCGCATAGCTTTACTTTTACATTATGGAATAAGAAAATGGTAATAATGGCATATTTATCTTATTCAGCACAATTTTTAAAAATAGTTTGTACAACCGTAATATTAGCGTTTATTACTTAAAATATTTTAATGATTTGGATTTATCCCAATCTCAATATTTTGATATTTAATAAAATTACATCATCGCATATTACATAAAAAAGCATAATCCCACGTAATAAAGTAACAAACAAAGATAACGATAACGAAATATACATTTAACATAATTCACAATCATTTATTTGTCAGTGTCAACATGATTCATTTTTGTTGCCTACATATTTCCTTATTGGTGTCTTTGAGATAAGTTAAAAAAAAAGTCTGTCTCTATTGTATCTTGAAATAATAGCACATTGTGTATCTAGTACTAAAAACAATACATTCGGACGATGTAAATGTTGGCCGAAGCCTTAATCCGAGTTCAACAAACATGTTCGGAAATGTGCTTTTGCAGGAGGTATTTTTATTTATTTTTTTCTGAAATTGCAATCAATATTATTACACACTAGGGAGTTTTTATTATCTAATCTGTAATCTAACTGCTTATGATAATTAATATGAAAACATTATTATAAATATAAACAAATATAATAAACGTACGATATGTGAATGTTCAATAAAGATATGTTGATTTATCTACGAGTATTTATTTACTGTCTAAAATATAGAAAAAAAAAACGGATACGGGAAAGTAACTTCCTCGTACTGTTTTCTGATGATTGCTTAGCAATGACCTAAAATACTAGAATAATGTATTTTGGGATCCAGAATTGCGCCGAGTAAGTAAATACTTACATAAGTATATTAAAAAAATGAAAATTAGAAATTAAAAAATAGACACGCGCGTGAAGTCACATTGTTTCTACAACCAGGGTAATATGACGCAAACATCTTAGAAGAATTCGTATATCCAAATCCAATTTAAGATAATCTAATTACCATCCTCAAACGAAACCTTACGCGACCATATAAATAGAAAACAAAACGGCAGCAACATCACTTTTGGTAGAAGTATCAACTCACACTATCGAACTAGTCGTCGAGAATATTTCGGTCCCTTCTCCACAACAAATGGTTGTTGCAGTCAAAGTATTCAAAAAGACAACACCAAATGGTAAAGTCACCGTTTACCTGGGAAAGAGGGACTTCATAGACCACCTAGACCACGTCGATCCCATCGATGGAGTCGTCGTTGTCGACGATGCCTATCTCCAAGGGCGGAGAGTTTACGGCCAGGTGCTCACGGTGTACCGCTATGGCCGGGAGGAGGATGAGGTCATGGGCGTCAAATTCAGTAAGGAGATGGTCATAGACACCGACCAGATAGCCCCTTCGAAGAAAGAGAAAGAACAGCTGACCCCGATCCAAGAGAAATTGGTGAAGAAGATGGGACCGAACGCCTACCCCTTCACATTTCACTTCCCCGAGATGGCCCCCTGCTCCGTCACTCTCCAACCAGGTGAGTATTCAAAAATGATTGTACCACGTTCCCGAACAAAATTGGGATGATCATGATCATTAAAAACAGGTTAAGATGAATGAATGTGGCTTTCAGGCGAAGATGACCAAGGAAAGCCTCTAGGCGTCGAGTACTACGTGAAATGCTATGTGGGAGCTAATGAGGAAGACAAGGGCCACAAGCGCAGCACCGTCCAATTGGCAATTAAAAAACTCCAATATGCTCCGCTAGTCAAAGGAGTTACACGTCTTCCAAGTTCTTTGATCTCCAAAGGGTTCACCTTCTCCAGCGGAAAGATCAGCTTGGAGGTCACCTTGGATAAAGATACCTATTACCACGGCGAAAAGGTAGCTGCTAACATTATGATCAGCAATAATTCAAGGAAGCAAGTACGGAACATCAAAGTGTACGTCGTGCAACACTGTGAGGTGAGGATAAAAGTTGACGCAATATTCAGTGAGTTTCTTAAAATTTCTTCTGACTTATAGGTGACCATGGTAAATGCCCAGTTCTCCAAATACGTGGCTAGCCTGGAAACACGCGAAGGTTGTCCCATCACCCCGGGCGCTAGCTTCACCAAGGTAGCCTACCTGGTGCCCTTGGCCTCCAGCAATAAAGATCGTAGAGGCGTAGCCCTAGACGGTCGCCTGCGCGACGATGACGCTAATCTAGCCAGCTCCACCTTGGTTCCCGAAGGAAAATGTCCCATCGATGCCATAGGTATCGTCATTTCATACTCCCTGAGAGTGAAGTTGAACTGCGGCACGCTTGGGGGTGAACTGATCACTGATGTGCCCTTCAAGCTGTTGCACCCAGCCCCTGGTAGTATCGAAAAGGAAAGGGCTCAAGCCCTTAAGAAAATGAGGTCCCTGGAAAAGTCTAGGTACCAGCAGAGCTTCACTAACGACGACGAGGATAATATCGTTTTCGAGGATTTCGCCAGGTTCAGGCTGAGTCGGGACGAGCTCGAATAAGAAAGGAGTGTTTGCAAATACTACAATCAGCAAAAAAATATTTAAAAAAATGAAAAAATCATTAAAAAAAAACAAAAAACTAAGTCCACCCATCAAAGCATTGGGTTTTCTGCCAGAAGTGGGTAAAGACAAAATTGATGACATTATAAAAGAATCACTTACAAAAATAATTATGCATAATTATTTATTTTGCTAACAATATAAATATATAGGACTAGGTATAGATTGTAGTCGTGCATGCATAAAAATAAATAATATATTAAAGGTATAGCTGTTTTATTTGTACACAGACAACTGATAATTGCGATTTCGTAACATTTATAAGTTAATGAATACCTACGTGACGTTATGCACGAAGTTTTACGATCGATGAACGGTTAGAGAAGCAATTTGTAAATTAGGACAGCACTGACTGTGAACATCAATAAGAATGTGGACGCAAGTGTGAAAATAATTTAAATATAACCAAATATCGTGCTACAAAATGCATTTTTATTGCACTTTATCTGATAATGTGTTGTACAACCAAAGATTATGACATTACCTTTATGCACTATTTAGGATACCATATTTTTTTTAATTAAATTTAGTTTGTGTCACGTTAATTACTAGTTAGTAATTGTAATTATAATGTGCAATTTTAGAAAATGGAATATTAATTTATATTATTACTTAATGTATACTGAGATAAAAACAAGCGGGGTTCAATCAATCAATATATTGCTGAATACAAAATATCTAAATAATTCTAATACTGATAGCAAAGTATTACAACTAAAATAAGGTCATTTTAAAGGAATATCACGCGACACTTCTTATCTTCGTGTTTGTGGTATGGCGCAGAGCTTTTCATTTACAAATGGAAATGTGTATTATCTCGCTTCTAAAAATAGTCACAATGCAATAAGATACATCATCATATACATACTTTTAAAAGTATAATAATTGCTAAACAAACAACACCTCACACGAGTAGATCGCGTGACCTAAATCGCGATTAAAGGAAACCGTTCAAAAGTTTAGCAATTCTAATGGTTTTGCATATCGATAAGGTAAGGTCCAAGGTGAAGCCAAAGGTACAGTTAAGGCATAAAATGTTCGTACAATCAGATTCTCTTTTACGACTTTCCGGGATTATTTTTGGAAAGTTGACAATATACATTCATTTTTATGTTGCAGAGTATAACAGAATAAAAAAAAACTGAATTTATAATCAGTTTTTTTATATTCTAATTTTCCGATTTTTCAGTGCACTCTGAATATAATAAATCTTTTTTTATGGCCACTGCAAGTGAATATATCAGTAGTTGCATTATTGTCTTGTTTATAATTCCAACCTTAACCCAAATTACTCGCTGATCGGTCTCCTTAAAACTATTGACACCTGCAAAGTAAAGATATTGAAGCATATTTTGCCTCTAAAAATATGGTTTGCATTTCTCTGCTTTAATATTTACTGTACGAGGTCTGTTCAGAAACAACAACAACAATGCTATTTCTCACTCAACGGTTTTAGTGACGATTTTTGAAATGTGCGATTTTCCGGAACAACGACGCATCGTAAAATTTTGCGGGAAACTGGGGAAAATTTTCACGGAAACGTTGGAAACAAGCGTTCGGAAACGATACTCATGGTCGTATGCGACGTTACGAATGGTGTTCACGATTTAAAAATGGTCGTCAGTCAAAATTGAAGATGATCCTCGACCAAGAAGGCCTTCGACTTCAACTACCAATGGACTGTCGGAGTAATTGCAGAAGAGGTTTGCATCATGCATCGAGTTGCAACAAAATTTGTTTCTCGTTTGATGACCAAAATAAAATCATGTGGACGTTTGTCGGCAACTCTTAACGATGATGATGTTGAAACATTCATTCAAAGGATCATAACGGGAGACGAAACTTGGGATTACGGCTACGACACTGAGACAATGGCTTGAAGAAAGAACGTCAGTTCCGATCTAACGTCAATGTGATGCACTTTGAATTCTTTCCTCATGGTGAAATAGTGAACCGTGTGTACTATCAAGGTGTTTTACAATGGATACGTGAAAAAATCCACAAAAAGAGACAAATCATGGTTTTTGCATCAAGACAATGCCCCGCACACTCAGCTTTGTCAATTCGTCAATTACTGACGTCTCTCACCCTCCTTACTCATCAGACTTGGTTTCTTGCGATTTTTTCGCAAATTCCTTATTAAATGCCATTTCAAATTAATCTGCTTCGCGAAATAGAAACACCGCTGAGAAAAATGTGTGAATAGGAGAGGGGAGTACTTTGAAGAAGAGAAGAACCAATAGGTAACGTATAAAATTAATAATGAAGTTTATAAAAATAAAGTTTGGTTATTTTTTTAACAGACCTGGTACAGTAGTTATATTAGTTAAAATGAACTAAAAAATATACAAAAATTGTTTCAAAATGCCTAGGTAATTTATATGCAAATAGTTAATTAATATTGTTTCCACTGTAATTTGTAATTTTTAAAATTCTAATAAGATAAAGTTTGATACAAATTTCCTGTAGATGGATTGTTATAATTATAATAAATACTTTTTTAAATATTCAAATATTTTAGCATTTCTTGGATATGCTGCGTTTTCCCAGGGTTATACAAATTTACATCCTCTTTGTATTCTACGTTTCTGGTATTAATTAGAAACAAATAAACACATTACAAAAATGGCACGTGTATTATAAATTGCTACCTTCAAGTTCAAGCTCATGTTTACATTTTTATTCGTCTATAAATTTACATAAACCAACATCAGACGCACTTTCATTTTTGTTTACCAACAGAACTAAAAATAAATACGCAGTTTCCGTTGTTGCTGATTAGATATCTGATAAAGAAAATTCGAATATTACTGTGACTAACTTACATCAGTTATATTCATAGGTAAGCAGTGAATTATGTATTTGTAACTGCCTTGGTAATTTACAACAATTTTCAATACATGTACCTTGGCGAAGTTCTGAAAAACAATATTTTTACCAAGACAAATTTGGGTTTTCTAAATAAACCAAGATACCTCATTTTTCTTACCACTTACACATTGTGGTTTAGTATAAGAAATATGAGAATACATTCCCAAAAACAATTAATTTATTTGCTTGCTTACAAAAATGACAAAGAGAATTACCAACTCCATTAAAGTAAAGCGTGATTTGGTTGTCTTTACAAAATTTACATATACCGATAAGAAGTCACCTCTACATGACTTTGCGAACTGTCCTGACAATCTGACGATTACAGAGCTTATTCATCACTCATCAGTGACTTTTTGCGTTAAATGATAATTATAATTCACAGTCTACTGGACTTGGCTTTAATTAAAAAAAAGTGATGGTGTTTCAAAATCTAATTGGATCAGCCAATATCACAGATGATATGTTTTTATTATGTATTTGAATAAAACCTGCTTATAATTCTTATCTAAGTTACTCAGAATTGTTGCATTAAGTAAGAATATTTACTAGTACTTCATATCATAGTTATACTTTTATGCCGCGATATGAACAATGGGGTTTCGGTAAAACCGAAAACCGTAATTTTGATTCATTTAATAAAGGCACATTATTACGAAAAAATATCTACTCTACAAACCAATGTAGCAAAAATTTTCAACAGAAGGTTTGTTAGATTGTTTTTGGTGGGTACATCAGCCGATATTAAGGTTCAATAGATTGCCAAACAGGTAAAAAATAAGAACTGGAACGAATTTATTGCGATTTCTAGCTAAAATAGTCCAGTCATCCGGAACTACTCAGTTGCTTAAAATGAACCAGGCACAAATGGGTTACCGTAAGTTACGTCAGCAATTTGAAAAATTAATTCAAGCGTAAAACCTGAACAAAAAAATTAAAATGAGAAATGTGTCAGAGAGAAAACAGTTCGATGTTTGCTTCAAGGTTCTAGTATGCATTTCTCGTAGGGAAACAGTTTGCTGTATTGTTGAACTTAATATTTAAGCCAAAGTTCTTGTGAAAACAAGTAACTAAAGTTCTAGATTTAACAGATTTATATTTTCCGTCAACAAATATAATTGTTGCTAAAACGTAGATAAATCCAATTATTCATTGTTTCTTATATTAATCAATTCTATTGTCGTTTCGTCCTTAATTCTGATCTATCTATTTATATAAATTCAAAATACATATATTGCTTAGTAGTTGCTAATAAATATTCATCTACCTACATATTTGTCATAAATATTATTAGATAGTTGTTTTGTCTGTAAATACTGTTTGAATAAATAATAATAAATATTTCACGCGAGTTACCTAGTAATATTGACGACTTCTCATAAAGCTGCTTGATGAAAAAGTGGAAAGGTAAAAGTTGAGATTTCTAATATTATTTTTTATATTTATTTTAAATGTTTATACAAATTCTATAACCATAACCGCAATCAGTAAGGTTAAATAAGCAAACATAATCAAAATTTCTGGATTTTAATAGCATTAATCATAATTTTTCATTTCTTAACCGCCTTGCTTATTGCTTTAACTAATAGAAACATCTGTACGTACATGTGTTGAAATCTTGCAACTTTATTATTAATTATTGTTGTTAAAATATTTTATTGGTCATTTGTACATATGTATTGGTCATAGACATAATAAAGTTAACAACCTTAAAAGAATGAAGTAATATTTTAATTGCCGTTTCCAAATACATGAAAATAAAAATTTTGTTCAATCAGTCTCAAAATGAGTTTTAGCTTCTTGTGGTAACAAAAAAGAAACAGAAGTAAATAACAGAAGTTCAAATTTAGTGCTGTCTAATAGAATTTTATTCTGAATCAAGATATGCAGGAAAACATATTTACTTCCCGTAAATGTAAAAAAGTACGTAAATATTTTACACAGATATAAATGAAATCTTAGATTGTAGTATGTGACTTTCACAGCAGGAAACCTAACCTCAAACAAATCATATTTTAAAGTGTCGCTATGGAAAGACCGACATTTTTAACATCCTTAAACCATGATCAATAGGAAGAAATCGTCTTATTGACGTTCTTAAATTTATGGCATCATTATGTTACACAATATTTACTTTTAAGTTCCTGCACCTGTAAAACCAACTCGAACTTACCAATTCAACACACCATCCTAAGATGTTGGCCAGTCTTATGTTCTCAGGTGTAAGGTTTTCAGGTTTCTCCAGCATCTTGTACGCTATCACGGTCGATAGCCCCCTGATCTTTTTACCTGTTGGAACGTTGTACTGTAATACTTTGGCGAATCTTTTCGTGACTTCGGGGATATCTGTATGTCTACCGGCATCCGTCAGATCCCTGACGATATCGGGGAAGATGGCCATGAACTGGCGGCTCTCTTCCTTGGACACCAAGGGCGTGTTGGTCTCTGGAGGTTTGACTTTGGTCTGGATGGTGGATAAGGCTCTGGAACAAAGAAGCGTTCTTGAATTGAAATGGCGCTCCTTTATGTCAACCGATTATTAGATATTTTTTGATAGGCGTACTTCAATTGCTTTTTATTGAATATTTTTTACGAGTTGTCTTTCGAATTCTTTCTATTAATTAATTAATTGTAAAAGTGTTTCAATGTACAAATTTTGATCGGAGGTTTACCCCCTCGATTTTTTATTACTAATTCTTGTACTTTCACTTTAAAGGTGTTAGGCAAATACAAAGTTAATTTCTAACAATTTTTAAACCCTGTAAATTCGTTCTGGAGATTTCGTACTGACCTTGTTTTAAATTTCGCGACACATTTGTTTGCAAAAGGTATGTGTCACATTTAAAACGTTTTGATCTTATAATATACCATGTGCAGATTTTCTTAGTGTGTATGTCTATAATTCATTGGATGATACATGTACATAAGTAGTTTACTTGATTAAAATTTGTATATTGATTTACAGTTTTAAATTAGATTCAAAATTGAGTTACACATTTTTTTATACTGTTTCTACCTTCTTCTGTTAAATGATCGGGATTGAGATGTAACGTTTTACATCCCAGCTCTCTGATACCAAATAAATATATAGAAACTACCTTCATAATTATCTAAATAAAAAATAATACAAATCAATTCCTAGCTTATCTGTCGCGTTATATTTGGTATCAAAACAAATTATTACTTTATTTGATGTGAATTCTAGAAAAAAAATTTAGAATCGATTTGAATGATCTTAATACCAGTTTTATCACGAAATTAAATTAAACTAGTTCATCATTTACGTTGAAAATCCAATAAATCTGAACCAATAAAATTGTGTGCTTACTTTAAAGAGAAAAGCAGAGTTTAAAAACTTTGATATTTACTTTTAATGGGAAATAGATTTTGATAAAAGTCAATTGCTAATAACTTTATTGATTATATTCGACAACGTAATTCATTTTCCTCTTTCACTTTTCAAAATGTATGTATTCAAAGACTTCACGATTCAGTTGAGCATAGAAGCATTTTGGGGAAAATACTATATTTAATTCATCGTTCATAGTAAAAATGATAAAGAAGCAATTATTTAGAAGTCCAGCATTTTACAAAATCTAAGCAAGTTAGAAACAATATCTCTTCACTGCACCAGTTATTGAAGTTTTCTCGGTATAAGACAACTGATAATACGTTCAAAATAAGGGAAGAAGACATATTTTTCCTCGTATCTCATGTTTCCTGAAGTTTGAACGTACAGGAAATCACATACGGAACTATAAACATAATCACACCCAGTAGAATGCTTTTAGGTAACTATTAACACATGCATTAACCACAATTATTGAGTATTTTTACAAATTTGCTGGACAAAGCAGGAAAGGTACATTTTCTGATGTTTACATGTTCTCAGTGATCTTTCATTGCTTCGTCACTTCCTGGATGGATCTACTTGTTCTATCATTGTCTTACTAAAAGTGCGATTTCTTGTTTCTAAAATGCTTAAGATTAATTTTAAAGTACTTATAGTACGTACGACATTTGTTGTTCCATGAAGTGTCACTTCCTCACCCGAGGCAGAAAGACTTTGGCGGATAATTTCAAGGCACGCCCCTGCTATGGCAAATTGTTACAGTAGTTCTGATACAGAACATTACTGGTTTATTTTTTTCTTGGAATTCTACTCTCAACAAATATCGTGCGGAATATATTTATCACTTTGAAGATAACGCAAAATATACAAATGTAAAAATAACTTCCTTTCTTTGAACCAAAAGTGATATTTTATAGGTTAAATTTATGGTGATATTTTACTATCCGGAGTCATTGCACTGGAAAACTTTGAATAAGGGATTCAGGTAAATTTTTCAGGTAGTAGTATATTTAACCTAAAAATAACTAGGTATACCTATGTTTGTACAATTTGAGTATGAACATATAATCTGCTATAAACGGGCACTTCCGAGGAATGGGTAACCAGTACCAATAGTTTGATTAAAGTTTTTCACATCTTTTATGAAGGGAAATTAGATTTTTCAAAACCGAGGGCAAATAATAAGAAAATTAAATTAGTGATATATTCAAAACCAAGTTACAGGGTAAATTTATAGAAAAAAGTTATTTCCATTTTGACTGAGGAACTTTTTCTAGTTTTGATCTTCCATGTCGAGTAAAAGTTTTTGTGCACATTCGATATTTTTTTAGAAATCTGCGTGTTCGTAAGAAAGGATTTGCAGATGGCAATATGAAGCTTTCATCTATACCTTTTACGGAAGCTAAAAAGATATCGCTTAATCATCATATGTATATTATTTGAATTAATCATAAAAAACGTGCATACAGTGAAATTTAAACTTGAAAACAAGGAAAGATTTATATTTATTAGGTATTTTTATAACACTTATAACTTTAATCTCTACTCCACGCATCTAGTTTAAAAAAAAATACGTTTATAAAATATTATTAATAAAGATTAACTTAATACTATTTAATTATGTTTACTACATTGTAAAAAAACATTACGTTATTTTTTTTAACAAGGAAATGGTTCATCGCAGTAACTTCATTAACAAGGAACGGCTAATTGCAAAAACAAATAAGTTGAAAGATAAAAAGTATATCCATGGACAAAGTGGTGTAATTTAATTGTTAGGGAAAACATTTTATGTGCGGCAGGTTACATGAAAAAAAAAAACATTTGTTAACAGCAACATTAAGATTTAATTGCTTTAGATTTACTACAAGGTTAAATTCAAAGCTCAAGAAAATTTGCTAACCGATTTCTTCAAGACGTCATTGTGTCCACCAAAAATGTCCTTGAACTGGAGTTATTTTCACGAAACTATTTTTAAAACCAATACAAATAACAACTGATAAGGCGTAAGTAATTTTAAAACATTTTACATTGGCAAATGGTACAGTTTATCTTTCTGTTACAGTTGTTTATGTTATTACAACGTTTTATTTTCGGCTCATTTAAAAAGATAAACCGCAAAGACCGGAATTGCTTCAGAAAAACGGAAAATAAAGTTCGAGAAAGAGTTACATCTTCCTATTATTCCAAACATATTTTTTAGTTAGATAATAATTTGATAAAAACAATCCATGACTGATCCTATTGATGCAAGGGTTGATTTAATTAAGTTTAATAGAAGAAATGTTACGCAACATCTTTTTTATTCGGGATTTTATAAGATTTTGTGCTCGAGCTTAATAGATGCTATTATGCAACGAAGTAGAGCATTACATTCTAGTAAAGTACCGAAAGTCTCGCCGAAAGTTCTAGAATTGACCGATTACCTGGAAAGGTAAGCAATCTCAATCCAAAACGTAAACTGAAGTTTAAAACAAACGCAGTTTTTTGGAATACAGACAATTTGGCATTTAAAATTCGAGCGATTTTTCAATTTTCCTGACAGTATGATTTGGAGGAAGAATTTCATTAAGGGAAACTATTATAAAGAAAGTAAAACACTAGAAAATGTGATATACAACAACACTGAATTTAGTAGTAAAAATTAATAGGACAATATTTATAAGTTCCTTCTTTTGTCATTAATTTACTATATTAAAGACTTATGGACATACAAAGCCATAAACTTTTAATTATTACTGCCTACGTTTAAAACAGCTTCATTATTTTGTTTATACAAAAATTTTAGATTTCTACTTATAAAAAAGTGCGAATTTTGGATTTTTCTAGAAAACAATCAATATTTGTTCTATTGGCAGGTAGTAAACTATGCCATTAAAAATGTAAATAAAGCGGAAAGGAACATGTGTTCCTTTCAAAGTATCAGTTCTTTGTTTTATAGGGACATAGGTGCGAAGGCGTCGCGAATCGAAAGGACGCGATACCAAAACAAAGAGAAGCCAACCGGGGGTGTAAAACAAGATCTCAGTCACGTAGCCACGAACCGATCATTGACCCCTACCATGACAATCTTCAGCGACTTACCTGATGTTATTGTGTCTGCTGAGTTTGCTCCATTTACTAGACAAGTTCCTGTTATTCCCAGCCAATTCGAGGTTGACTTTCAGCTTGTTGTCTTGCTGCCTGGATATAGCGTCGCTGTTGGGGACGCTGGACGTCTTGCTGATGTGCCTCCTTATCTCCCTGGCGATTTCTCGGCTGCTGCGGTTCACCGACAGCCTGACTGAGGAAAACATGGCGTTTCTCACTTGATTCTCAACACTTCTCAACTCTACTTGACGAACTGATCAAGGAAGACCCCGGAATTCTGTTTATAAGCTGGCAGAGGGAGACGGAGAGAAAACAAGACAGGACGCGCGACGTCTCTCTCGCGCGCGTTGTCGTCGGAATAGCGCTTCCACGTGGTGACTGAATGGCCGCCTCCAGCCGGCGTTCTGAATGTGCACACTACGTGCCGAACTGCCGCTACGCAATGGAAACCGGAGTATTTACACATCAGCTGGTCCGCCGGTTGCAAGACACCCCTTTATTTATAGATTTTCGTACCTTCTGCGTGACTGTCTACTTGTACTCCAGTTCGTTAACTCGACGCTGTAGGTAAAACGTTTATACCTAGATCCTAGATCGCTGTTGACTTCACAATATTGGGGCAAGGATATTTCTAATATGAAATCTTGTTCCAGTTATATTTAGAACTGACACTTATGGCAAATATGTGTATGCAATATTCATGCACTTGATTTGAATAACATAAATGCTGCTGGGTGATAATCAGAAAATTGATTGTCTGTACCAACACAATCTTTTAGTTATACCTTGAACATTATGTGATGTGATGCTTCCTAAGCTAGGTATGATGTCATGAGCACTGTTTACGGTTGAAAATCAATCTATGACCGAAACAAGAGATACCATACCATAAACTCATGAAAATTGCATTTTATCAAGGCAATTATTGAAAAAGTTTACAGGATTTTACCTAGTTTATTTTCATATTACCGAATTTTACATTGTGGTCCAATGAGAAGCAAGACACATCTCAATTTTTTTTGCAACGCGGGATTGGAATAGTATATTATGTTACTAGGAGTAGAAGGCGATCATTATGTGTTGAGTCGAAAAGTTTGCTCGCCGAGGCTGAGCAAATTGGGCAAAACACATAATGAGCCTTCCACTCCGAGTGACATATACTATTTTTTCTTCAAGCGTGAATATAAAATTTATAGCGGATAACGCGATGTTCAATCTCAGCACAAAATAAAATCAGTAGGTAGGTAATACTATTTATTTTATACATTTTATACATTTTATTGATTAATTAAACATGACAGTTTTAACCACTTTATTCATGAATAAAAAAACAAATGTAACAATTATTTTTCTTTAATTTGAATTAAACGAATAAACATCTAAATTACCTACATGTCTATCATCAAACTTTATTTATTAACATGAATATTAAATGTGCAATTTTGTATGGTACAGTTGTTGATATTTAAAGCGCTGCTGGCTGTCTTTTTTTCAAAGTTTACAGTTCTGTCGTTGAATACGTTACTTGTAATAAGGTTCTCAGTTTCAGTGTTAACAATTGTACCATTATTAACAGAAAAGTCTTCGATTAAATTATTTTCAGGATCAATATTTACAGTTTCGCTTGATGTACTTGGTTCATTATACTCTAATGGGTTTAATATTTTCATCGCTATCTGTTTCTTATTGTTTACAGAATCTTCAATGTATCCTTCAGCGACGCTGGTAGATTTCCATCCACCATGTCGCTTTAGGGTTGTAATGTCTCCACCATTATCAACTAAGATAGTTGCCGAGGTTCTTCTAAGGCAATGCCCCGTATATTCATGTGGATTTGGCAACCTTAAAAATGATGCAACATCTTTTGGCACTTTTGAAATTTTATGTATGCCCATTACAACACGATGACAATGGCCATTTTGATATTTAATAAAAAATCTATCAAAAGTTATGTCTTTTGGCCGAAGAGTAGCATATTTTCTGTATAAATTTAAATAAAACTCTCCAATTATGGTAAATGAACGATGTTTTTTAGTTTTTGTATTGGGAATATTTACTAATATTATATTTCCCAAATCTTTTACATCATTAACTTTTACTTGAATGAGTTCATCGCATCTACAAGCTCCTGTGACTCCAAATATTAGTGCAACCTAAAAAATATAGAATTATTAATTTTGTAACAATAAAAAAAGTTGGAAAATGCAAGGAAATTCTAAAACATGACGTAATTTTAAGACATCTATATTTATGAGTTTTTACAACATTCTTCCAATGAGCTATCTTTATTTCCGAAAATTGTTTATTATTCTCGTAATGGATACTATAAAATAACTTGAAGTTTACAAATTATAACAAAATTTTGTATTACAAATATAAAAAGGTTAAATATATATCTACCTATAATTTAAAAAGTACATACCTTGGTTGCTAAATATTTATCATCAGGTGCTTTATTCAGGAATTCGTCAAATTCTTTTTTAGACAAAACTTTCGACTTTTTTGGTTTATAATTTTCACCTTGTCGTTTCAAAAATGTAATTAATTTTGAATATTTCTCAATATTTACATTGTGTTCTATGTTTAATTTAGATTTTACCATTGAATATTGCGCCCATAAAGTTGAACTTTTCAGTGTTCTGGATAATCTTGTAAAATATGCTATCATCACATTTTCTGAATAAATATGTGCATTATTTTCTTTTGCCCAATTTATGAATTTATCATAAGCATTTTCATAAATTTTTCTCGACTTTGTTGGTATAAGTGTTGCCACTGATGTATTTGCAATTTCCAGTAATTCTGGTGGTGTGCACTGCATTTCTTCAGACATTTTAAAAACGACCCGACGCGACATCAAATTTCAACTGACACTTAATGAAACGTCAAAGCTTCTTGAATCTTTAATTCGTTGCTAGGATACTTACCTACACATTGTTACATTTTTTTATTAGTTAAAAAATGAAAAATATTTGTACTAGTTAAACAATAGGCTGCTTCTAAAGCAGGTGTTGCACTATATAATATAAGTATTATTATACGCTTGAAGAAAAAATATATTTTAATTGCCCATAATGTGATATTCTAGATGTACAGCAATATACAACTTGTTACAAATTCGCTTATCACTATAGGGATCTCCTAAACGGTAAGAGGTACGAAGTAGCTTAAATGGGGGCCAACATTATGCTTTTAAAAAATCAAGGCTAACATGATTAGTTTTCGAAATATATGAAAAAAAAACAAAATTTTTGAAATTCGTTTTTGTTTAATTTCAGCCTTATTTGAGGTCCGAAAAAAATTTTTTTTAGTACAAATAAAACAACAAAGAACCAACCATAAAAATAAACCCCAAGAGTTCCATAACCCACAGAATTATTTTTCTATTTAAAAACGTCTGTTTTTTACTGCATAACCTTTTTTGTTTTAGTAAAACAAATGAATATAAATTTTCTGTTTAAAAATGTCTCTCAGTTTTCTTCATTGCATAACTTTTTTGTTTTCTTTTTTTTAGACATCAATTGTACAAACGCGAATAAAGGACATTAAAAATAAATTTGTTTGGAATATATGTATGTCCTTTGTCTAAAAAGATAATAAAATATTTTTTTTATAGAGAATTTAAAGATTTGTTAAGTAATTAGAACCCACGCACTGGTCCCATGGCAATCGTGACTATCTACAGGATCAACATAATAATCCAAAATATTGTGCAAACTGTCTAAGTAAATATATGACGTGTATATGTCACTGTAACTATAAAAAGAGCAGTATTTCAAATAATGGCAAATATACAGGGTGTTCCATTAAAAAAAACAAACGTTTAGCTTGTACCTCTGAAGTACAACATTCAATTATTGTTTTTATATATTTTTTTGAGATCGTACGCAAATTTCCTAGTCTTAATCGTTTTTTTTTAGATAGATCAATAAAAAAGTTCCTAAAACTTTGACCTTTACCACTTTTTTATTTAAAGTATACCTTATTCCTAAAATTTAAAATAAATTTATTCAAATGGAAATATTAAAATTAATTTTTTTATCTTTGAGTGTTAAAATCCGGACAAGCAATTTATGAAAACGACAAATATAATTAAACTATACCTTATATCTAAAATTTAAAAAAAATAAATAAATGAAATCAATCGACTTGAAATAAAAAATTTATTCGTCTTCTACGTAAGTACAATCATATTTAAATTACAAAATTGTTAAGTATTTTATTATATTCAGCATTTATTTCTTCTTTTGTTTTTTGTTACTAAACTAAAGCGGGGGCTATCTTCCTCTTCTTCATCTTCAACGGATTCTTCTTCTTCTTTGCCATCATCAGACTCCATGTTCTTCCTCTTCGTCTGATTCATCAACATCCTCTTCTTCCTCCATTGATGCTTCTTCAGCATCTACTTCATCTACACTGCCTGATTCATCTTCTTCCAAACTCATTTCATTATCACCTGAATTAATATAATCTGAATCATCGTCATCTTGTTCCACTTGCTTTTGAGGAATCACTTTCTGGGATGGACTGTATTTTTTATTTTTATTAGCATTTCCATTTGTTTTTACTTAGTTTGACTCATAGCATCGCCTTTTCTTAATTTCGAATTTTTCTTATAAATAATCGGCATTTCACACTATTATTTTGTACTTTATAGACGACAATGGTTGATTTTCAAGATATTTGATCAGTTTTTATATAAATTCCACACAATTCTTTTCTAAACAATTACCAGAATAACATACAGTCTCCATTATTCAAATTTCATGCATTTATATTAATTTGCAATAATGTTTTTATAAAAACTTTTCAAATTTATGAAGATTGTTTCTAGAAAGCTTTGGAAATGCCCGAAGATGACAAATTAACCCATTAATGATACAGTGTGTTATAATGTAAAAACAGGAAACAAGAAATGCATAAATTGAAAATTTTAAGTTAAATATAAATAGCATTGTTTGCATTGTAGATGAAATTTGAGATAGGCAGATTTCACGTGATGCTGAATAAAAAAAATGCTGGTTATGTTACGAAAAATCGCTTCTTAAAAACATCGCAGCACGGCATGGTTTACCCCAACAAGATTATTGTTTTAAGAAAATTTTAGAGGTGTGGTCTGGATTTTAACGGGTCACATTATATAAAACTCGTTCGAATCGTGCGTCGAGGAATATCCTGTTCGTATTATGCATTTAAATGTTTGATTGTACACTCATTGTATCAAAATTATCGAATATTTTTTGTTATCACTATTACTCGAATACGATTTTAAATTAACGGTTTAAAATTATATATGTGTTGATATTATTCATCTAGTAGGTGAATACACTCAATTGTTTTAAAATGTTTTGACATT